ATAAAACTCATTTTTTCACAGATGTGTGATACACTACAAACACACAAGTACAACTCATCACAATTTTACATTTTCCGTTTTTTCTAAATGACGCAGTTAACACATAGTCCACAGTGTCTTTTGTTAACTTATATTTAATTGTTATAATAATGTAGAATAAAAATGTAAAATGTAATGTAAATAATGTACAAGTAATTTGTTTGTTAATTGTTAAATTAATGTATTATTTATACACACAACCAGTACGAAGGACGGGTACACAGCTAGTTATTTCTATAAAAACATTATTATCTTGAAGTAGTTCCTTTAAAATGAACAGCAAAAAGATGAATTTTATTCTCTTAGAAATATATATAAGACCAAGTTAAGACTTAACATTTACTCTATGTGATTAGAAGTGAACAAAGTCCTGGTTTAGGCTATGTAAACACTTTATGAGTAGTCAAATTAAACATTTCATAATTTAAAAAAAATACATATTGACAGTTAACTAATCTACAGTAAGATTTTTTTTTAAAAGTCAGTTGTGAATGAATGATGTTTCAATTATGTTTATATTATTTTAAATTGGATAACTCATTATCTAAAGTTCAAAATATTTACAGGTGCAGCAGGTTGCTTAGCAACATTGCTACATGATACAGTGATGACTCCTGCAGATGGTAAGACAGAGATCTTTCCATGAAATAGATGCCATTTGAAAAATACTAGTTATATCTGGTTGTCTCTGCTGTTTCTCTTTGCAGATGTAAAAATTCTGATGCAATAACAAAAACAGTTATTTTTATTAGTTTTACATTACTGACAAAGATCATAAATTTATTAGAAAGTATTTCAAATTTTGTTGAGTAATAAGGACAGTAAATAAAGGTTATTTTCATAATGAATTCTAGAATAATAAGGTGTATTTTTATATTCAATTCTCCATTTCTAAAAAATAAAAATTGGGGTGATAGGTGAAGTTGTTCACATAGCTATAGAAAGGAACTTTATTCACTAAAATATTAAACAGATGATATTATTTATTTGTTTAAAAGTTGACCATCTTTTAAGTTGATTACATTTTATTTATTCATGTAATTCAGGTTTTTTATTCACTGTTCTTTTCCAGTTATCAAACAGAGAATGCAGATGTTCAACAGCCCATACAAGAACGTCATTGACTGTATGAAAAGAATATGCCAAAAAGAAGGTGTGTGGACATTCTATCGTAGCTATTCAACTCAACTAACTATGAACATTCCTTTTCAAATCATCCATTTTCTCACCTACGAGTTCATGCAAGATTTAACAAATGATCAACGAACATACGATCCAAAAACACATGTAGTGTCAGGAGCTGTTTCTGGAGCCTTTGCTGCTGCTGTGACAACCCCACTAGATGTATGTAAAACTTTACTGAACACTCAAGAACATGAAACTCTTCATAGGACCAAGCAATCCTATATTAATGGCTTAATCAATGCAACCATGACTGTGTACAGATTTCGTGGACTTAGAGGATACTTTCAGGGTTTTCAAGCAAGAGTAGTTTCACATGTACCATCAACAGCAGTAGCATGGTCAGTTTATGAGTTTTTTAAGCATATGCTTAAACTCCAACAAAGCCTGAAAGACAAAACCCATGAACCTTCAAATCCAGTGCATTTACAAGAAGACCTTTTATGTACAGATATAACTCCATCACGTATATGATAGTTAGAAACTAAATTGTTTGTAGCTTGTAGTGCTAATGTAGCTTGTCACTAAAACCAACAACTGGTTATTAAGAAATTTAATTTTCTATGTTTCTATAAAACAGCATAATTATTCTTCTGTTCAATGAAAAGCTACAGATATTTTTCAGCTGCTTATGCCCATTACTTTCAGTTGAGAATCTTTCATTTCTTATAAACATTAAAAATAAAAGCATTTTTAAAAAACATACAAAGTAAAGACATTCTTTATAGAAACCCATTTTTTAGGGAAAGTTTGTTTCAAAATGTGCAATGAAATGGATGGAAATGTGTTTTTATTATAAGTTAAAATTTTATTGAATACCTCAACTAACAAAATAATTTTTCCTGCCATTTGTATTGAAAACTTATCAACAATTTCAGTAAAATCTAGATTTCTTAATATATTAAAATCCATGTGAAAGATTATTATTTTTTTCTCTGAACTTGTTGCTGCAAATAGTTTTTGGCTCTTCGAAGCATTAAAAAATGATCTTTCTCCGCTACAGTTAGTGATCACAATGTATAACGGGAGACTGTATAGGCTAGTATTTGGAGTTCGACTTTAAATCCAGTTAAAAACAGATTTATATTAAATCCAAGAATATAATTGCGAGTGGAGAACACGCGTCACTAACTCGAGGAAGTTTACAGTTAGGATAAAGAATTGACTCGGAGGCTGAGATTCAAAATACAACAATACTTTAATACAATATATCAAGATACTCGGCTACATCGAAATTACCAAAGGTATCTTGGAACATGTCACTATCAAAACTATTAGATTCATCAGTTTGCACCACTAACTGTTCCTTGATTAAACATTCTATAACATGCATTAAATTATTTAACACCACCAGTAAGTTATCAATTAATACTTGGAATGAAATCTGCTCAGACATAACTTTATTAATTTACCATACATTCAAGTTCTAACTACTTACAGTTACTTACATGGAGCCAGAGTGAGGAACATTGGTAACTTTCACCATTGTGTCAGGAAGAGTCAACTTTTCAACTACAACAGAGTAGTCCGCAAAGAACTTCTTTGCATCGAGTCAAAAGACTGATTTTTAGCCCCAAACATGGGTTTTTTAACAGATTTCTTTAAGTGTTTTTACGACTTACCAAGTAATGTACACAGTTTGGTTCCGAAATTTAGAATACGTTTGCAAAAAATACAACCAAGTGTCAGATCTACTTATGGGTTAGGACGAAAATACTTCACTGATTGGTTAGGGTCGAAGACAGTAAATCGGCAGCCTGTTTGTCTGTATCTCTCCTCGTCTTCTTCACATGAAAGTTCCGACTAATTCCTTTTACAGAAGTTGTGTCCAAGTAAATATAAACTTTTCTCGCAGCTTTCGCTCTGCTATGGTGGTGTCAATTTATAGATAATGTAAACAATATCGTGTGAACTGCATCTTAGTTTATACTTGACATATATCTTTCCTTTCATGGTCTAGCATCGTTGTGTAACTTCTCGTGTGTATTCATTAGCTGTGCTCAAATTTCTACATATTGCATGTATGTATATCATACATGAAATTTTATAAGATACCTTAAAATGCTTCATGTGCATAAGAATATGCGCAGAGCTATTTCAACATTTGGAAATACACATTTAACGTTTAGAATTTTAACCAATTTTATAAGTTTCATAGATGAAGATACACCTTCTTTGAACGTATGAATTATTAATTCCAGTTGCATGCATTCTTCAGCTGGTAAATCTTCTAAGTCGATATTATTAACGAACAACAAATTAAAAGCAAAAGTACTAAGCAAAAAAAAAAATTACAGGGAAGTAAAGTGTTAAGTAGAGTTCAAAGTACATTTACACATGCACACTTTTAAGAGGTGTGAAATGCATAATTACATGTTTTCAGCACATAAATGCTTGTCAGTCTTTACAAAAAATGCCCTTTTAAGTGACACAAGCCTAAACTGTTATATGTTTATTTATTATATAACTTGCAATACATATTTCGTTAAGAATTTAGCCCATTAGTAATACCCATATAATCATATTTTTCGCAGCAAACCACAAAAAAAAAGAGATTAAAACTCACCAGATGTTGAAAACATGTCAAAAGCAACTGTATCGGCAAAGAAGCCCAAGTTTGCATTATTTTTGAAGAAAACAAACATTGTAGCTTTACATTTTTAGTGGTACTTATTGCAAAGAGAACCTGGTACTTCTTAAAACAAGATCAAAAATACTACGTGACCTAGTTCTAGGAAGGTGCTAGCAGAAAAAAAGATATTGCAAAATAACTTGCATAACTTAATTAAGGAACAAGACCTTTATCTCAGTATTCTACTAAGTGTATTAAAAATCATATTGACAGTTTCAGTAAATGATAATCAGTGTATCATTGTCACACGAAGTTTATTGTCAACTAAGGTAGTCTTTTATCAGAACACTAGTATAAAACCCCGTCAAAAATGACAGAAAAACATTTTTGAATGATTAACGACAATTATAGAATTTAACTAAACGAATTTATCTGTATCCCCAAAATGCACCTACTCTTTACTTATTTTACCTGTCTCGAAGTAATTCTTTAATCACCACATTTTTAGTAAAACTACGCAGTAAAATGAAATGTTATCGTGTGTAATCTGAGAGAGGTTTAAATAACACTATTGAGCCTTTCACTGTATTCTAGAAAACATAGTGTGGACATTCTGACACAAATTTTCCACTCGAGAATCCAACATAAACACCATAGCTGACCTAAGAACGAGCAGGTGATAGTTTTCTTGCTAGGCGACGATATAGATTGTTGAGAATTGCCAAAAATGAGCGTGAAATGAGAGTGAAAAAGGGAATAAGCCTTTTATAGTTAGTGGCGTGCTGTAGAAATGTTAGCAAATGCGTACCTATATCAGAAAGTTAGATAAATTGTGTAACTTGCTTTTTTTGTTTTTAATATTGCGTTAAAAACTCTTGAGCTTAAACCTACAGTTACAACCAAATATTAGTGACCATAGAAAATTATGTATTCAAAAGTAATGTGATTTTATGAATTCGCAGAAGTGACAATTCACAGTTGTGAAACAAACACTAGGAAGGTAAACCAACCTCATTGAATTCATCTCGAAAATTGCATTTTATTTAAAATAAATAATTGCTTTCATTTCTGTTGTTGAAATGGCTTCTGTGTTATAAATATGTACACAATAACATTTTTGTAAAATGTCCAATTAAATTATTTAGGTTTGAATGACAAAAATTTGATTTCCTGAACTACAGACAAATAATATGTGGATAAAAAAACATAACTAAAATGAAATGACAAATTGTGGTTGCAAACCAATCAAAGAGTTTTAAATCAAGTTTTTAAGTTACTAATATTTTTTTATCATTTGAGAATCCTATAATAAGCTTTAAACATGTATGTTCATTCTTAATGAATGAACTTTGGCTGAATTAGTTAGATTGATAAATGACTTGAAGACTTATTCATTTATATGGCAAACACATGTAAACATAGTGTTACGACAGCAGAGGTCACGTAACACTTGTAACACGTCATGCGCATCTAGAACGTTCATAAAACCTCGTGAGGTTACTAGATATGCGGTATTCTTGTATATAAGCCGTCAAGAACCGACATCAACAATGTGTAATTGAACTGCAGATAGAGATTGACGATTGAGTCGAGCACGTGAGTCTTCATTGGGAATTATAGAGTTTGTTATAGCGTGACTATGGAAATTAAGTGTATTGTAAAGTTGTGTTTGATTTGCCGCTTCTCGTTTCCATTTTTTTTTGTCCCACTCTCTGACACCAATTTGTTACGTCTCTGTTCGTTAGTTAATTTTCCGTATAATTTCTTTCCGAAGAAACTTTAGCGATACAAGTCCTTTCTTAAATAAAACTGGTTTATTGTTTCTAAATTACAGCTTAGCAGATTTGATGGCAGCAATACAAGAGCAGCAAAAGAAACAAGAAGAACGAGAAAATAAACAAGAAGAGAGACAACAGCAGTTGCAAGAAAAGTTGCAACAGTGGCAGCTCGAACAGCAAAATAGACAAGAAGAGAGATTACAGCAGTTGTTGGAGGAAAAAGAAAAGAAACAAGAAGAACAAGAAAAGAGATTACAGCAGTTGTTGGAGGAAAAAGAAAAGAAACAAGAAGAACAAGAAAAGAGATTACAGCAGTGGCAACTAGAACAAGAAAGGAAACAGG